TTAAAGGCTTGATCTGAAGGGTGGTTATATTGAGAAGTGCTGTGGAATTATGGGGTGATAGGGTTTGTGCTTGGATCATTGAGGTCATACCATCAGAGGGGATTGTGCATACGTTTGTCTGCTTTTCTCTTTCTCCTTCATCCTCCCTCTTCTCTCTCTCTCTCATTCTCTCTCTCTCTGTTTCTATCTCTCTCTCTTTCCTTCTGAGATGCTCTCTTTTTCCTTGGTGATATAATCCTTTACCTACACATACCTCTGTAAAAGCATGACACAATTGAGCAACAGGCTATTAGCACCATGGCTTTGAACTTGCAAAACCAAGGAATATATATATATATATATATGTGTGTGTGTGTGTGTGTGTGTGTGTGTGTGTTCCACAAAATAAATGTAATTGTCATGTATCTCAAGCATATAATAATATTAAAGTAGTGTTCCTCCTTCTTGAATGAGATTGAGTTTCATGAAAGATACCTATTGTCCCCATTGCCCTTCTGTCTTCTATCATGTGAGGAGACGTTGTATTCTGTACCTACAGAGGACACCACCCTCATCAGATAAACCTGCCAGTGCCATTATTTTGGAATTTTCAGCCTCCAGAACTGAATTTCTATTCCTATAATGTATTCAGTCTCATGCATTTTGTTGAACAGGATAAAACAAATTAAGACACGGGATGGAAATGTAGCTCAATGGTAGAGCACATGCCCAGCATGCATGAGATCCCAAGTTCAATTTCCAGTAACACACACACACATACACACACATCAGATTATGATATGTATTTATGTATACATGCATAATCTACATGCATATGTGTATGCAGTAGATTAATTAATGGGAACACCCGGCTGAACTGAGTCAGCATGGTTCTGGGCATGAAAAGTGCACCTGCAGATTGTTGCTGGTGACATAGAAGGAGAATGGGAGGGAAAGATTGCATGCTGCTGATCTCCCAGGATAAGCTTTTTTGTGACTGGATTTCCTGGTACAAACTTGGCTTTTCCTGGTGTTGGAGGAGTGCAGGTCCTCACTGTCACCAGGATGCCTGCTGTTCTTTTCAGAGGAGATCTAGTCTTCACCATTTTCTTGATTTTTGCTTTCTAGCTCCAGTGTAGATCCCTTAGCCTGGTGGCACAAATCCTTCACCATTCTGGTGCATACTTTCTAGCTTGTAGCATTGGCCCTTGGACCTTTACATGTCAGACCTTTGATATGAACTTGCATGAGATGCTATTGTGGCCTCTAAGCCTTCAGCTAGACTCATGCAGGACATTGCCATGAGATCCAGGCCCTTCGCTGGATTCTTAAGGTCTCTAGCTCATGGACAGAGGTCTTGCACTCTTCTGTATTTGACTTTAATCTATCTATCTATCTATCTATCTATCTATCTATCATCTATCTATCTATCTATCTATCTAGTATATCTGTTTACTTGCAAACCTTGACTACAACAGTTTATTTACATATTAAAGTGAAATTGAATTACAATTCTCATGAAAGAATGGAAAGATTCCAAATGAATGAAAGGGAAATATCAAACTTTCTGTTAGCATAGTGGTAAAAATCATGGGGGTAGATATGCATTCAACTTTCAAGGCATGGAATTTGTAATAGCCAGAGTACAGCTATGTAGCTGTAACATCTCCAAAATGTTACTAATTTAACAAAACAAGTTTACTTCTTTTCCTCCTAAATTATCTACCAACTTGGGCAACTAAAAAAGAGAGTTCTCCATGTATAAGGTCAGATTTCTAGGCAATTTAGATATTGTAATATATCCACATAAATTTATACCTCCACAATGCCATATAAATTGGAAAATTGTGTTTTTATTAATGAATATTAGTCATGCAGATTAATGGATTTTATTTTGTCACGTGTGTGTATATATATATATATATGTAATATACTTTGATAATTTTACCCTTATGACTTCCCTTCCTCTTCTCTCCCCTAGCATTGCTTCTTTCCTATCCTCTAATAGCCCTTGTCTACTTTCATGTCATCTCTTTATGAGTGTTTTTGTATTATTTTTTTACATATGAAAGAAAACACATTTGAGATTTTTAGCCTGGTTCATTTTGTTTAACATGATAATCTCCAGTTTCATTCATTTTCTTGCAAATAACATGATTCTATACTTCTTTATGGTGAATAATATTCCACTGTGTGTATTTACAAAATTTTTCTTTATTTATTCATCAATGGATGGGCATCTAGGCTGATTCTATAGCCTAGTTATTGTGAACAGGGCCCCATGGTCTATGGATATGCAGATAGGTCTGTAGTATGCTAAATTTATTCTGAGATATACTGAGAATTGGTACTGATAGATTAACTAGTATCTCAATTTTTGATTTTTTTTCCTTCAGAAACCTACATATTATTTTCCATAGTGCCTATACACATTTACATTCCAGCCAACCATGTGGAAGATTTCATTTATCTTCACACCTTCATGAGCATTTGTTTCTTTTATTTTTAGTGACAGCCATTCTGACTCGAGTGAGATGTAATCTCACTGTGGTTTTGATTTGCATTTCCATATAGGCAAAGAAATTGAACATGTATATTATACTTATTGAACATTTGTACTTCTTCTCTTGAGAACTGTCAGTTAGTTAATTTGTCTATTTATTGATTCAGCTATTTGTTTGTGGTTCTTTATATGTTGTTGATATCTGTACCCTATTCAAAGGATAGTAGGTGGAGGTTTTCTGCCATTCTGTAAACTGTCTCTTTGCTTTGTTCTTTCCTTTGCTATGCAGAAGTTTTTTTTTAATTTGGGGAAGAATTAATATTAAAAATATTGTGGCAGCTCTTAAATGTATTGGCTTAAAAGTAACACATCATTTTCACCAGTATTTCATTGGACAGACCAAAATATTTTTCATGCATAACTTAAAAATAAAAAGAAAATGCAATGTCCTTGGGTGTTCCATAAGTGAGGATAACCAGAAATATCATTAATCACCAGTAAACTCCACTACAGTGGCACATGCAACATCAGAATCCATGAAACACCATGCATTCTATTAGGCAAAACTATGGGCTTAGATTAGAGTTTTAAGTTTGAACACTGCTTTTTCTGCTTAGTCCCTCTGTGAGTTTGAGAAAGTTTTTATTATTTTGCTTTGTGTTGTGTGTTTGTGTGTGTACATGTTTTCTACTAGAACATCAATATCCTCACCTATAAGAGTGATGGTAATGCCTGCCACTGGGAAACCTGCCAAAGATAATAGAGAGATTATATTTAGCACAACTAATACATAATAAACACTAAAATGTCAGTTATACTTTAACACATACTTTAATCATGCTTTGCTCAGTTTTAGAAAACACTGTTGATAATGCATAGAAACAACACAAAATTGAAGAGTTTCAACAGTAGTGGCGATAGTTCTCTAAATGTATTGTAGAATTCAGCAGTGAAGCCATTAGGAACTGAGCTTTTCTTACTTGGTACATTTTTAATTACATTTTTAAATTTGTTGATTGATATTGGCTTGTTTATAAATTTTAGGTCTTCCTCATTCAACTTTGTTAATTCATATGTATCTAGAAATCTGTCCATTTCTTCTATGTTTTCCTTCTTATTGGTGTATAGTTTCCCAAAATAGGTATTGATGATTCTCTGTATTTCTGCTGGGTCCATTGTACTTTCACCCATTCATTCCTAATTGCATGGATTTGAGCCTTTTCTTTCCTTTTTTGATAAGGGTGGCTAAGAGATTTTCAATTTTTATTTCATTCAAAGAACCAAGTCTTTGAATCATTAATTTTTTGCATCATTCTCTTAGTCTCAATTGCATTGATTTCTGCTCTGATCTTTACAATTTCCTCCCTTGTATAAGCTTTGGGTTTTTCCTGCTCTTCTTTTTCTAGTAGCTTGAGTTTCAACATTAGCTTTTTTATTTGAGCGCACTCTGTTTTCCTAACATAAGTATTCACTGCTATGAATTTCCCTCCTAAGACTGCTTTCATAGTGTCCCATAGATTATGATATGCTGTACTGCCATTGGCTTTTAATTGTAGAAACAGTTTGATTTATTATTTAATTTTCTCTGTGACTCATTGGTTGGTCAGCAGGTGTTGTTCAATTTCCATGTGTTCATGAAATTCTTGTGGTTTCCTTTGTTATTGATCTCCACTTTCATCACACTATGGTCTGATAATATACAGAGGATAACTGCAATTCCTTTCCACTTACTTAAACATGTTCTATGGGTAAGGCCCAAAGGGAAAGAGGAACTGTAGGCAAAAGGAAAGAAGGAACAGGAATACATATGAGAAAAGGAAAAATCAGAAACAAAGTCTTTCTAAATGGGGAGGAGTAGAGGGGTTGAAGGGATGGCAACAGCATGAGGGAAAAAATAAGAATCAAGATATATTATGTAAAGGCACAAATTCTCAATGATGAATGTCAGCATATTGTAAAACTAAAATGCAGCAAAAATCTTAATTAAAAATACAAAATCACATGGAAACACATAGAAATAAGAGAACACAATCCATAATTTACAAACCCAATGGCAAGACCATATCTCAGCTATAGGGCAC